CGCCGCTTCCCCAGATAGCGGAGATAATGTGGTACTTTTCGCCGATCTGGAGCGGTTCGCCATCTATGTCTAGCACTTCGGGGAGTACAGGGATAGGGAAACCCTTGCCATCAGCAGTAGTGGTGGGAAGGACAATGGGATTAGTGGAAGTGAAAGATGATGAAAAGACCACAAAGGGAAGCAAAGAGAGAGTAGTTGAAAGCAAGAGGAAGCTGAAAATAAAGGATTTCATGTTTACCCAAGGAGGGTGTTGCGTATTGTTTGATATGCAGTCCATTATTATTGAAGCTTGAATTTTATAGAGGGATAAGATGAAATTGTACTTGCTATAGTTGCATGGATAGTCCTTCAAATTGGCACGTTTAAAATGTGCATTTTGTTTTTTAGTAGTCTCTATGTCGTACATTATCGGTTCATTATGATTGAAAACGATAAAAATCAAATGCTCTTATCTCTTTTAATTTATGTGGTGCACGGTATTTGATTTATTAGAGGGAAAAAAATCTTGGCATTAACAAAGAAAAAAGACACTTTAAATTTTTGTGTAAGACATGCCACAGTAACTTCTGTAACTATAAAATTATATTATTAATGTTAAAACGTAAAGCTAAATGTTAAATTATTTTTAAATATATAAATATTTTTTTTATGAAATAGACTAATATGAAGAGAGCATAAAAATTGGAATAGGGGGTAATATTTTAAGAGCCAAACATTTTCTTAGTTACTGCAGCTTTAAACATTTTGTAGCACACTTTTTATATAATCTCCAAAAATGGGCGTACTTCCGTTCCAATTTATGTGAACCTATTTTCTTTTTGGTTCGTTTAAAAAAGAATGATCCCTTTCTAAATTTGGAAACAATTTTGCTTAAACTTACAATTCTACCTTTAATAAAAAACTTTTATAACCATACAAATATTCTTGGCCCTTTTTGAATTGTTTAGGACCACAAATTTCAAAAGTCTTCATTTTTTCTTAAACTCTGTATCCAGTCAAACAAGTTCACATAAATTGAAACGGATGGAGTAAAATATTAGCAAAATAATTTGTGACCCTCCTACACTAAACTTTACCATCTCTTTAGGAGGAAGAACAATAATAATTTGATTCTTTTTCTTTGTAATCATGGCACGTTTAAAATGGATTTTCGTGGACGATATCATCTATATGTTCCGCGTATTATTGGCTCGCATATATTGAAGGACAACATATAGGAATCAATTTCAACCACAACTAAGATGGTACAATCTTAAACTTCCAAGTTAATCCAATCACATTCCAACATTGCGTAAATCACATTGATATTTACTTTGTTTGTGACTTGTGAGAAAGTTCTTTCCGGTACCTAACCTTGCAAGTTCAATATGTAAAGAAGCTAGGCTAAGTCTTTTTAACTCAAAATATGCTTGATCTGATAGGATACTTAAGCAGAATAATGCTAAAAAGATTTAATGGAAGTTAGGTACAAAATGGGAATTCTTAAAGTACAATGAACAATCTCGGCAACAAAATCCCTCCAAAACATCCTTTTAAGATAGAGATGGAAAGTGAAAAAGAAAAAAAAAAATGAATGGGGTTAGGTTTCTTATTTTTTTAGCGGTATTAATTCAATAAACTCCAAATTTCTTTGCTTGCCAAAGGATGTCTCCGATACTATAATATCTCAAAGTGACAAAAAATACTGTTGAGAGCTACCAATTAAGCGCTGAAGCACCGACCTCGTTTACTTAGTTATTAGCTGTAAAATATTGCCTTTGTTAAGTATTTCCAACACCTACTTCTCACTATAAGATTAGGCATATACAGTTACGAAATACCTCGTAGTTAAATATAAAATTTTTTGTAGCTAAACACTTTAGTCACAAAAATAATTTTTGTAGCATCCATAGCAAAATGTAGCATAACTAAAAGTTAGCTTCGGACTTTACATGATCCGTGGCTAAGAACTAATATTTATTGTTACAAATCTTTTGCCACGAAAAAATATATTCACAGTAAATTATTTTATTCTTTTGCCAACACAAATAATATTTGTAGCTATCTTTATATTGTAGCCACAGGGTATTCAATTGTAGCAAAAGACATAATTTGTTTGCCTCGCAAATTTAGATTTTGTGGCTATTTTTATAGTTTAGTTTCGTGACACTAGTATGTTTTTTATGTCACGACCCAAACTAATCCCTGTCGTGATGGCGCCTATCGTGGAACTAGGCAAGCCGACTCATTTCCAAAACAAACCGATATTTTCATTTAAAAGATAATTTTAATACTATCTAACATAAAAAAAAACCTTCGTAAAAGAGTTCAAATCAAAATAAAAGTGCGAAAAAGAAAAGTCCGACATCGGAGTGTCACTAGTCATAAGCATCTACTACCATTTGTCTAACAATATCAAGACTAACATAGTCTGAAAAATAGCTAAATACAACTAAAATAAGATAAGAGGGAGAAGAGCAGGGGCTGCGGTCGCCAAGCAGCTACCTTGCTATCCGCAAGAAAATCTGTAACCAGAATAACCAACAACCGCTACCGTGTCCAGCTACACCTGGATCTGCACAACTAAGGTAAGTAACAACAATAAATAAAGACTGAGCAGTAGTGACGAGCAATAAAGCATATCAAGTTCATATCACAAAAATTCAGTAAAGTACAACATGCTTTAAGAATCAGTGTTTGAATCAAATCATCTCGTTTAAACCCGGTTTCAGTAAAAATTATTTAAAGATATTTTTCAACAGTTTTTCAAACAAGGCTCAATGCAAAAGTGAGCAAAATAATAAAATCATAAACAGCCTCTCGGACAAATCTCACAGTCACTCGTGCCACTAGGGCATACCTCACAATCACTCTTGCCACTCGGGCATACCTCACCATCACTCTCGCCACTCGGGCATACCTCACAATCACTCATGCCTCACAGTCACTCAGCACTCGGCACTCGCACTCAGTAGGTACCTGCGCTCACTGGGGGTGTGTACAGACTCCAGAGGGGCTCCTTCAGCCCAAGCGCTATATCAAGCCAAATCATGACATAAATCACTCAGGCCCTCGGCCTATATCAAACATGTTGTGGCGTGCAGCCCGATCCCATAAATATCCTCACAAATCAGACCCTCGGCCTCACTCAGTCATAAACGTCTCAAGACACTTGGGCATTTTAGTAAAAATATGGCATTCGGCCTAAAACAACATTTATATGCATCAAAATGGAGTCATAAAATTGAGTTATGCAATAAACAAGTATAACCATGATTGAGTATAGATTTTCAATCGAAAACAGTAAGAGGATAGTAAGAAAAGGCCCCTAAGGGTCCAAACAGCACTAGCACAAGGCCCAAACATGGCATTCAGTACAACTTACAAAAACTCTTTTTAAAACATATAAGCATCATTTAATTTCCACAAAATATGCAACTTTACAGTGCTACGGGATCGGACCAAGTCACAATCCCCAAAGGTGCACGCCCACACGCCCGTCACCTAGCATGTGCGTCACCTCAAAATAGTAGAATGATACAAAAATCCGGGGTTTCATACCCTCATGACTAGATTTACAATCATTACTTACCTCAAACCGGTCAAATCTCTATCCTGAAATGCTCTTGCCTCTCGACGCGGCCTCCAAATGCTCTGAATCTATTCACAATCAGTACAATACCATCAATATACGCTAATGGAATGAATTCCACAAGAAAAACTATCAAATTAGCCCAAAACGCAAAATTGGCTCAAACCCGGCCCCCGGGCCCACGTCTTGAAATACGATACAATTTACAAAACTAGGAAACCTATTCACTCACGAGTCCAACCATACCAAATTTGTCAAAATCCGACTTCGAATCAACATTCAACTCTCAAATCCTCATGTCGAGTGTCTGCGGATGGTGGGGATAATGTAGCAGTTGTTGGTGGAGAAGGAATGACTGGCAAAGAAGAAGATGAAACTAATGGTGTTGTGGGTTGAGAATCAGTTGCGGCAAAAGCAGTGCTATTTATTAGTTGCTTATCAACCGAAGAATAAAGAGGCCCGGTACCTAGCCTCATGATACCTGAAGCAGCGAGTGGGGTTCGGAAGCGATGAGTAGACTTCTTCCTCTATATCACACTCCCCTAGAGGGCCTGGATATCGTATTTGGTTGGTGTTATTAGCTTAGTAGATTGAGAATTCTGTTGAGCTGATGAAGGTCATAGTCTCCTTTACAGGGAAGCCCCTTCATCACTGGCTCCCCCATCATCATCGATCACTATAGTGGTTGCGGCTGGCTCGGGCACGACATTCTTCACCCTTTTCTTTTACCCTCGACCGTAGAGGAATGTCGCTTTTTTTGTTGCTTGTTCTCCGGTCGGGGACTCCGAAAGGAAGCACGTACACCGAAAGCATGTCCGATGGCACCCGTTCGGGTAAAGGCCTCCTGCAGCAATGTCACCGCCTCTATAGGATCAGCTAAAATGCCCTTCTTAGGGATGACAACAAAGCCCTGCGGAAGATGATGACGTCCACAACACCCCTCGATAAGAGATATGATATGGTTGTATGCCTTGTCAACACACCTCGATAGGAAATCACCTCAATCTTTGTTTTGTAAACTTCAATTCCATTCTTTGAGATTTTGTGGCCAGGGACAACGCTTCCTCGACCATGAGATGACATTTTTCTCAATTGAGCACCAAATTTGTTTCTTAACATCTAGCCAACACTTTGTACAAATTTGCAAGACAATCATCAAAAGAATCTCCAACCACCGAGAAGTCATCCATGAAGACCTCAAGGTAGTTCTCTACCATATCCGTAAAAATGGCTATCATACACCTTTGAAAAGTCGTTGGTGCATTGCACAAACCAAATAGCATCCACTTGAATGCGAAAGTACTATAGGGACATATAAATATTATTTTCTCTTGATCTTCCGGAGCAATAAGAATTTGTTTGTAGCCCGAATACCCATGAAGAAAGCAATAAAAAGCACGGCCAGCCAATCTATCAAGCATTTGATCTAAGAAAGGAAGTGGAAAGTTATCCTTCCTTATGACTTTGTTGAGCTTGTGATAATCTATACACACCCTCCACCCGATCACCGTTCTTATAGGAATCAACTCATTATTGTCATTGGTGACCACCGCCATGCCCCTTCTTTGGGACACATTGAACTGGAGAAATCCACGAACTATCGGAGATGGGGTAAACAATCCTGGCATCCAACCACTTGATAATCTCATTTTTGAAAACATCTTGCATAGACTCATTGAGTCTCATTTGATGTTCAATAGATGGTTTGGTGATATCCT